CCCACAGTGTGCGCTATGTGCTTCGAATATTGTGTGTAGTTTTTGTTTTATACAGTTGTCAGTCAGGCATCCAACTATGAAAAAAAAATTACACTCCTAAAGACCCCGGGCTTCTGAAAAAACAACCCGGGCTTAGGCCACCCCCACCCCCGCTCCACCAATGGGCAGACCCACTCTTTAAATATCCTGTAACACTGTTCAATATTGGAGGGTAGCCAGTGCCCCCCTTGGGGACGTACCTGTACAGGGTACAGCAGGTAGACCAAAGATGCTTTAAATCATTAGTTATTATTACAGACTGGCTCTGTTCACCCTGTCGTGTCACATGCCCCGCCCCTTTCTTTGTATTAATGCAGGGCTTTTCCTCAGTGTGTGAAGCACCTCGAGACAAACTGTTGTGATTCAAACTGAATTGAAAACAGATGTGATTCTGGGCCGGAGCAGAGCGAGGAGTGACCGAACGCGTGGCCCACTGTGTGGGTTGCTGGCGGTGCGGAGCAGCGTGGGACTAAACGGACCACGTGAAGAGTGAAAGGAGAGCAGAGCTGAGGAGGCGAAGCTGCAGGAATCATGTCAGACGTGTTTGTCAGCCAGCTGTCAGGTTCATTTTCACATGTAGGCGATCAGCTGTTCAGTCTGTCCTACACTCACGCACATTACTTTGTTCTTCTGTTAGATGTGTTGCTGTTCTTATGTGCATTTTTTAATTTCCCTGCATTGATGTGATCTCAGTCACTGATGAAAGCCCTGAGGGGTACTGCTACTCGGTACTGTGGCCTGTACTCACAGTACTGCATGTCACGGGTACTTAAATAACACCCTGTTACTGCTGACACGTCACGCACGCTCTCGGCGCACATTAAAGACTCTGTTTGGTTCGGATCGATTAATCGGGCCTCTGATGCACAACTCAAACTGTGAAGAAGAGGAGGAGGAGAGCCGCTCCCTTCTGATGAAAACAAACCGGAGGAGGCAGCTTAAGCCCGGAGTCTAACCCGGGCCTGCCGAACCTGCTAACAGCTAGCAAACCCGAACAATAACAGAGAGGCCGAGGCGGAAAAAACGAACCGAGGTCAGCAGCACCTACCCGGGTACCGAGGCGCTTTCAGCCCCCTTCAAAGCTCCGAGAATCGAACTTCAGTCCGCTCCGCCCCGGGCTGTCCCGGTACGGTCCGGTTCTTTGATCCGGGTCCCGGTGCCGCGCTTAGTCCAGGATTTTAGGGTCGGTCCATCTGCTCTGGGTTTGTGGCCTGGCTCGACTCGGCTTGCTTTAAAACTGCGGTGACGCAACATCCGTAAAGACAGAGGCTGTACATAACTGTCGGAGCTTCCGGTGGTCTTTACACAATAAAAGCACGTAGAGGAAAAAATAAAAACCAGCTGAAGACATCCGGGCCACTGACAGTAGGACAACACGGGGACGGTGTGTTGGGGGTGGCGAGCGGGGAGGGGCGCATGGATGGTTTGTTTTGGTCAAGGAAACTCGTCGCTTTGCCAACATTGGATGAATTAAGTTATACTTTTATACTTTTCCACTGGATTTAGCAACACGAAACTCAAAATCACTACATTATCATAAGCATCTTTGAGGGGACGACTCGAATGAGTCTTTGTGTACAAACGGAGCACATGCAGTCGGTCACACCTTCGAGCTGTGGGCCGTCACCAACCAGTCCTCACGGTGTGGAGTTACCGGGACACTTTTCTCACTTTAATGTTGGATTTTATTCCCTCCGGTAAAACATGTAGAAGCAACGGTTATTACCTGTGTGTCTGTGTTAGAAATACCCCGTGACAGAGTAACATGAAACACTCAAACACATGTTCTTGTTTCAGTCCAGGGGTCGATGTGGACGTTGTGGAGGACCTCAGAGTACACACTGATAACAAACTGGACTGGGTTAAAAACACCACTGCCCTCTACAGGAAGGGCTCTGAGCTCCTTCATGAGTCTGTTGTGGTCAGTGCTATTCTCTATGCTGTTGCATGCTGGGACAGCAGGCTGAGGCTCGCAGATGCCAGCAGACTCAATAAACTGATCTGTAAGGTCAGTAATGCTTTGGGGTTGGAGCTGGACTCCCTTAGTGCTGTCGGAAAGGCGGATGTTGTCCAAGATAAGGACGATGCTGGATCCCATCCACTCCATGGCCAATGAGATTACCTATAGTGCACCACTGAACGCAGTAGCGGTTTTTGATACGAGCGGTTGCCTGGGGCGGCATCACGGGCACCGGCAAAAAAAATTGCTCGTACTCATGCTGCCCCGACATCAGCCAGCGCATATTGGGAATGGCACAGGCACCGGTCGGTTTTCTATCACCCTTGTGCTGGGAGTAAGCGCGCCCTCTGTTTGCGAGGTGCACCGGCAGCACAGGGAGGAGAGGGCGGGGCCGCGGGGGAGTCTCTGGCTGGCTGGAGCAGCATCTAATAACCAACTCATAAAATAAAAACAAAACAACAAACATGAAAACACCAGACATCATGATACAGACTTATAATTTGCACCGATGTTTTTTCGAAATTCTATAAAGTGAGCGCGTGAGCCCTTGGTGCATGTGCTCGCTGCTGAAGTCAAAGTAAACTTTAATGTCATCTCCACATACAGTGCCAGTGGGAGTGTTCGCCCGGGGCGCCAAACAGGCTAGGACCGCCACTGACTGAACGACACGGGAACTCATCCCTGCCTGTGGATATTTGTGTACGACTCCTCCATCTAATGCAGAGCACACAGAGCAGCAGTTACAGCCTGTAGTTTGTCCTTTACAGAGAAAATAACAAAGTTTTACAGCTTAGAGTATTTATCTGTAATATTCTGGACATTTATAGGTGAGCTATTTGTATTTATGGGAGTTACTTCTAATATTTTGTAACTTTGTAATATTGTCTTATTTAATTTTTATCATTTATGCAGTAAAGGATTTCAAAAATAAAATGAATAATTTTGAAGACAGATCAGTGACTACAAATGGGTTCAGAATTCATCATATAAAAATGTTCATTTTGTTTACATGACCTTTATATGATGAATTCTGACCCCATTTGTAGTCACTGATCTGTCTTCAAAATTATTCATTTTATTTTTGAAATTTGCATTTTGTTAACTTTTTGCCTGTTTTTATTTTATACCTGGTTATCTCTGTGTGTGTGAGCTTTTGTCTAGAAAGGTGCTATATAAATCAAATGTTACTTATTTTAAAGGGGTTATTAAATGTGCGAGTTTGCATTTAGCTGCGTTTCTGACTCATTTCTTTCAACATTCGTTTGTCCTCGAGCTTATTTTTCTCTCTCACGTCAAACAGTTTTGAAACAAGTTTCACTTCTGATTTCATAAAAGCTAAAATTCAGCTATCGTCCTGTCACCACTTTCCTCTGTACTCATGTTTATTTACCACATTTTATGCTCTGTGATAAATAGTAATAACTCACGTTTTTGACTCTGAGATTATTCTGAGCCTTCATAGCGGTGATACTTATCAGGATCTGTAAAGACAGCAGCTATACGTGACAATAAGCAGCTCCTGCCCCTTAGGTGGGGTCAGGCTCAAGAAGCTTTTATTTTGAAGCTAGACCAGCGTCATTTCTGCAAGTAGGTGTTCTGTTTTGGTTCTGTTTCCGGTTGGTCCAAAACTATTTCCTTCCTGTCCTCCCACACAAAAGCCCAAAGCCTCAGGTACTTAGGCTGTGTCCCAATTAAGAGACTGCACGCTTGAAGTACGCATTTTAAGTGCGTTACGTCACCGCCACGCGACGACGGCTGTCCCAATTCGAAGTGTGCTTCAAACGCATACTCCAAATGCACCGTCGATTTCCCCAAATATCAAGCGTGGTCCGGTGCACGCTTCGTGGTCCCATATATCCCACAATTCATAGCGCGACGGTGGGTGTGGATAATTTTGCCGCAAAATACGGCAGAAGGGAGCGGCTGAAGAGGTTGTTTTTTTTCCCCAAACTTTATTGAAACCATAAAGCGAACAGTCAGTCATTCCAGTTCAGTTTGTACAGTAGACATACAAGGCAAATAAGAGTAACAATATACAGCACAATGAAATAAGAAGAAAAAAGGGGGGAATGTGACAGACTTCATAACAACTTTGTACTTGAAAGTTGTGACAGCTCATTCGTTAAACATTTCTGAATGAATTTCAATCAATGATAAACCTTTTTTATTGGAAGTTAATTTAAGAGAGTTTAAGTAATATTCAATTTCAATCAAAAACAAATTAAATGATGGGGTTGAGTTTTGAAATTTACATTTATGTATGTGGAATTTCCCTAATAAGATGGAGCGGCCGAAGAGTGAACTGTCAAAAGTACTGAATATGACGTCACTTATTTATGTGCGAATGTTTAATAATTAAAGTCAGTCATATATCCACAAACACAACAAGCTGAAAGTCAGTGATATATGTATATGTGTTATATATATATGTGTATATATATTATTATATATATATATATAATATAAATATATATATATTTATATTGTATATATATATATATATATATATGTATATATATTATATAGTATATATATATATATGTATATATATATATATATATATGATATTATATATATATATTATAATATGTATATATATATATGTATATATATATATATATGTATATATATAGTATATATATAGTATATATATATATGTATATATAGTATATATATATATATATATATATATGTATATATATATGTTATATTATATATATATATTATATATATATATATATATTATATTTATATATGTATATATATGTATATATATATGTTATATATATAGTATATATGTATATATTATATATAATATATATATGTATATATATATATATATATGTATATATATATATATATATATATATAGTATATATATATGTATATATATATATATATATATATATATATATATATATATATATATATATGTTATATATATTATTTATGTATTGTATATATATATAATATATTATATATTATATATGTATATGTATTAAATATATATATATATATATATATATATGTTTATTATATATATATATATGTATATTATTGTATATATATATATATAATATGTATACTATATATATATATATAATATATATATATATGTGTGTGTGATGTGTGTGTGTGTGTGTGTGTGTGATGTGTGTTATATATATGTATATATATATATCATAATAATCTGACAATACTATAATATTGGCCATATTATATTTACATTACCACAGTGAGATGACTTTAGTCTCATGAACAACATTAACTAATTGTTATTTACTAACTAATCTTAAATGACTGTTCAGCACAGAAATGAAGCCCAACAATCATGTTTTACAGTCCTGTGGTCTCAGCCTCAGATACTCAACTAATCAAAGTGATGTCATGACAAAAATGAATGACCAACAAAACATTTTTCTCCTTCATTTCTGTCAAACAAAGCTGTATGTAACGTGTCTCGCGGTTAGTATCATGGTTGCTAGGCAACCTGAACAGCGCGACGAAGCGTATACCGTCCCATTTCACAAGCCTCTCACTTCCGCACTTCTCGTACTTATAGTACGCACCGTACGTAGTACGCGTAGTGCGCGTACTTCAAGCGTGCAGTCTCTTAATTGGGACACAGCCCTACATTGTAAACACACCCACTGAATGCGCGCTCAGAGCGCCCCCAGCAGGCTGGCAGCGGAACAGCACGGAGCAGAAAGTGGGTCTGCGGGTGAACTTGATGGAACATCTGCAGACCCTAAACATCTGTCGCAGCTGCTTGATTATGAGAGTCCATCAGTGAATTCTAATCATTATAATATTAATATTATAGCATTAACTATGTATTAATATGAGACCACGTTGATCGGTTTATCCACCTCCGTGAGATGAATTATTAAACGGATGTCACTGTGGTTCAGCGAGCTGCACTCAAACGGGAAAGTCCAGCTGTTAGCGGTAACGGAGCAGGTGGTCACCGGACCGACACGAACTGATTTACCGAACGCGCTCCCAAAGACATCCAGACAGTTCACAGCCCAGCACAGACACGACCATCAGCACGTCTGCAGGGAAAACAGCTTCCTCACATCACCTGACTGACTACATTACTTCATTTAGCAGTGAGGAAAAGTGAAGCCCCCGTGTAAGTGAGGGACGTGGAGACTTGTTTCCTGTGGACGTGATGTCAGCTTTCCAATCGTTCACTGCGTGGCTCGGGACACCCGGTGTTCTGCCAAAAAGCGACTGTCCGTATTTAACACTTAGAGTCCCCCGAGAGCAGCTTCTACCTTTCTACCTTTAAAACCCGCCTTCCAGCCAAATGGCTGGTTTGGTAGGAGAAAACTTTTTAAATGAAGCTTTGCTTAGTGCACAGCATCCGTACATTTAATGTTAAATGTTCTTTTATCCTCCTCAACTCAGAAACTATATTGAAATATAACAACCGCATCCATCTTGTCATAAAATGACCAAACAGCCAATAAACGAACAATCTTTCAAGTCTGAGGATTTCTACTTCCTTGTGTTCATGTGCACACATGCAGTCCAGTGTTTCCTTCAAACAGGACACCTGACAAACAAAAAATGTAACATTTAACAATCTTTGCACATTTGATAATATCCAGAGTACCTTTACGTTAGAATCAGTGCCTTGTGGTTACTTCACTTCAGTGTGGTTTACATCCATGTCTGTCCAATCATGACACAGTATACACATGTAGTCAGTTATCGCCGCTCACCTTTGATTAATAAATTGTATTTCACTAGCAGGGACCACTTCCTTGGTAAGGATGGATGAGGAAGTGTGATAGTGCTGCGGTTTGGGGAAGGTCTTGAAGGGGACTGGCGACGGCTCTCGGGCCGGGCAGAACCCCGTGTACTAGCAAGAAATAAAGGAGCTCTGGGTGGGGTTAATCTGGGCTCTAAACTGAGCTGCTGTTAATTTGTGATTTCTGAGGCTGGTAACTCAGATGAACGTATCCTCAGCAGCAGAGGGACTCTTGGTCTTCCTTTCCTGGGGCGTCCTCATGTGAGACAGTTTCTTCGTAGTGCTTGATGTTTTGTGCAACTGCACTTTTGGGACACATTCAAAGGGGCGATCGTGGCTCAAGAGTTGGGAGGTCGCCTTGTAATCGGAAGGTTGCCGGCCTCGCGTCTGTCAGTGCGCCCCAGGGTGGCTGTGGCTACAATGTAGCTGCCATCACCAGTGTGTGAATGTGTGTGAATGGGTGGATGACAGGTTGTGTAAAGCGCTTTGGGGTCCTTAGGGACTAGTAAAGCGCTGTACAAATACAAGCCATTTTTAGCATTTTTACAGACTGACCTTCAGTTCTTAAAGTAATGATGGACTGTCGTTTCTCTTAGTTGATTGGTTCTTGCCATAACATGAAGTCTAACTGTTCTCAAATAGGGCTGTCAGCTGTGCACCAACCGGACTGCTGCAAGAAACTCCACATACAAACCCTGACAGGCACACCTGTGAAGTGAAACCATCTCAGGTGACTACATCATGAAGCTCACTGAGACAAAGCCAAGGGTTTACAGTGTGTCATCAAGGCAAAGGGTGGATACTTACAGGAGTCTAAAATACAACATATCTGGAGTTATCATCTTTTTCTTTGTTACATAATTCCACGTATCCTTGTGTCATATGTATTTAACTTCTTCAGTTTGAATCTACAGTGCAGAAAGTAATAAAAACAGGAAAAACAAGATGTGTCCAAACTTTTGACCGGCAGTGTAAGTAAAGACGTCCCACATCATCCCTCACAGAACAATCTTTTCAATAACTTCTTTCCTCTGACAGTCAGACTGATGGCAAACCACTGAGCAATGTGCAATAATAACCTCTCACTGCCTCAGAAATATTATCATTCTTGTGTAAATTTATATTAGTTTTGTATTTTGTACTGTCATGTTTATCCTGTAGTGTTTCATGTCCACTTTAACAGGTCAGCTTCTTGATTGGCTCTCATTGAAACAACTGAAGTCTGTATGCTTCAACAGTTGTGTGCGGTGACTGTCACAGAAAGGCGAGGACAGACGATGTCCCCTGCTCCATACACCCACAAACACCCACTATTTAGAAAGATAAATTGGATCAGATGAAAACACTGTTTGTGCTGCCGATCCGCACTCCTCGTTGACAGAAGAATGACTGTCTTACCATCCATCCATGCATCTTCTTCCGATTATCCGGGGCCGGGTCGTGGGGGCAGCAGCCCAAGCAGAGAAGCCCAGTCCTCCCTCTCCCCAGCCATCTCCTCCAGCTTATCCGGGGGAACACCAAGGCGTTCCCAGGCCAGCTGAGAGATATAATCTCTCCAGCGTGTCCTGGGTCTGCCCCGGGGCCTCCTCCCGGTGGGACATGCCTGGAACACCTCACCCAGGAGGCGCCCAGGGGGCATCCTTGTCAGATGCCTGAACCACCTAAACTGGCTCCTTTCGATGTGGAGCAGCAGCTGCTCTACTCTGAGCCCCTTTATATTCTATTCCTGCACAGTTGGTGTGGACCACCCACAATTTCACTGTGAACAACAGCAATTAAAGCTTTTTATTCTTATGTCTGCGATTGTCACACAGGCAGAAAATCAAGCTCCTCTTTTGTGTTTTCACTGATTGTTTTCGATCTCCATCAGCAGCTTTACAAAGAACATGAAATAAGTGAGAAGAGAAAGAAGACATTTAAAGAAATCATCTTTTAAACCCATTGCTCCATTTGAAATACTTCAGGTCTGTTTTAAACTAAATTATAACATTTTAACAAAAAAGAATCTGATTTCAGACTCAAACTAGAAACAAATCAAACTCACAGGATCATTCAATTCAAAGTTTGTCCCAGAGGATTCAGTTTTTGTGACCCCCAAGTCCTCTTGTGACCCTCAGATCCCGTGAGCAGTGAGGGACCCTCGGGAATGCTGACGGCATTTTCCAAAGATCCGATTAGTCATCAGGAAGTGATTTAATACCTGCTGAAATGAAAGGCGGAGACCGGAGAGTAAGTTAACGTCACGTCTTTATTGCGTCACGTAGGAAAATAGATTCACATTAAAGTTCTGGCTTCTGTCCTCATCACGCTTCACTTTCTCTTCACAACAAACAAACACAAGCGAAGCTGCGTCACACTGCTGAACGGGAGGGTTCATCCTCCACCGCTCCCGAAGTAAAGTGCAAAACAAAAAAGCAACAGAAAGGAGAGAGGGCGGAGTTACGGAGAAACAAACATCCAAAAGAGAGACCAGCAGCCACGGGAACACATGCAGAAAATTGATGGCGTTTCTCACAGCAACACCAGGAAGAAGAAAATCTGCACATCAACAAGCTCAACAACCGACAAAGCACGAGGCAGAAGGAAAACAACAGGAAACGTCAACGCCGCTGGTCACAGCTACAGACAAAAACCCGGCCCCCACGGGACCGCCAGGGCTCGCTCCCAACAGTGCCTCGTCATCTCGTCACGTTTCGTCAGTGAAGGTCTCTGACCCGGTGAGGGTCAGTAACAATCAGCTGTTCACATCTCAGAGGGCTCGCAGGGGAGCCGCTCTACACATGTACAGCACATATAAACAAGACAGGAAGTGACATCAGAAGGCGCCGTGTCGTCAGTCTGGCCCCTTGGAGTTGACGCCCTGCTACCCGGATCCCGATCGTTTAATCTTTGATTATCTGACCCGTTTCTGGTTTAGTTTGTTCGAGCACTGCGGCTCCACAGTGAACACCTCCCACAGACAGCTGCAAACCCAGGCTCCCAGTGCCGGGCCAGACTGGGCCAGAGCTGCTTTTAACTGGGTTATCCTGGAGTCCTTCTGCCCTTCAGGGATCATCAAAGATGAAGCAGGTTCACTTATTCAGATGAACCAAAGTTTCTGGGGTTTGTGTCTCAGGCTTCGTCATGCTGCTTCACACCTGCTCGTTTGGTAGAGCAGGTGTGAAGCAGCTCAGGTCCACCTCTTTACCCCTCGACTTTCTCTCCCCCTGATTGGCTCTCTCACAATCACGACCGTTTATCTGAACGCCTTTGGAAACCGACTCTTAGACTCGCGTTCTGAACCACATGTCAGCTCTGCTCAGTTACTCGCGCTGTTAGTCCCAACTTCAGCTCTTTTTGCATCTTTGTCAGGTTTCCCAGTTTGCCCAGTAGCTCCTGCACAGGGAACAATCTCTTTGGGTTTCAGTCAGAACTTTTTGATTCCCAAAAGCAACATTTGACTTTAACATCAGGTCTGCAATAAAGTGATGAGGACAGAGTCAACGGTGCCTGGCAGCAGACCGACTCGTCGGTCAACTCAGCAGCAACTTTGCCCACCGAGGGTTTTTTGTTTTTCTTTCTGGAAGCATCTAGGCCTCAGTCCACCTCAAAGAAAGCCTTAAAGCAACAGGGACCAGTTCAGGACCAGCAAGCCTTCTCAGTCCTGGATAAAATTCCCATTGAGGTCCCAGATCAGCACAAACAGGTCCCAAGAGGTCCGACGTTTCGTCAGAAAACCCTCCAGAGTCAGACGCTCCCGGAGTAACTCAGCATCAGTCCTACAGCTCTCTGACAAACGTGATGCGATTGGAAGCGGGTGGACTGCTGTAACCACAGTCCAGGTCAGATGACTCGCCTGCGGCTGCCGTCAGACACAGTTTATCGTACAAACTTCGTCTGAAGTAAACTGAGGCCTTTAGAGAGACGTCTTTACTTCTACAAACCATGAAATGTAACTACTCTGTGTGATTACTTCAGCTCTCATAAAACACTCGTGTTTTCCTCTTTATTCATACTGTTCAACACTTAAAACTGAAACGGCCATAGTGCGGCCGGCCTCTCGTCAGGTGCAACCACAAAGCAAAACATTACTCATAAATACCTGTGACGTAGTCTCTCAATGCATATAACAACAAACTGGTAACACACACGGACTCTTTACACAGTGCAACGCTGGAGTCAGTCAGGGCCGAGGCGCGGCAGTTAACAGGACGCCGAGACGTGCCAGTCGGCTGAGTTTACACCATGCAGTCATATTTACATGCTGGCGCTTAGTGCAGTGCTGCCGTGTGCACCTTCCCATCATGCAACACGTGTGAATTAACAGTCATGATTTTCGACGTCCCGTTAACTGACCCGCAGCTCTCATTGTCAGAGGACAGAGGGAAGTGAGGACACACACTTGAACACGCCACATTCACACCTCCAGACGCGAGTACTGACAAACGGGGTTTTTACAAGTCTGAGATCACAGGATGAAGATGGCGAGGACGGCGGCAGTGCCGCGCCTTGCAGGTTTGTAGCACCAATGATGAAGACGACGCCCGCGGGGAGCGAGAAGCGGTCTGACAGAAGTGAAGAACAATCGCTCAGCAATGTGACACTTCCAGAGTCCTCCTGAAGGAACCACAGAAGAAGAGCAGGAACCACTTCCTGTTACAAGTTTAGGGCACTTCCTGTGGCCGAAACCTTTGTTTTGGGTTATTTATCATTTTATTTTTATTAACATCAGCGTCTCGACGTGGTCGTGTCACACTGCTGATCGGGACAGAGCTGTGGTGGCGCTCGCAGGGAGTTGGTTAGTGCAAAGGGTGCATGGCATCTAACGGGCTCTGAGTGGGTAAATTCTTCGTACTGCATGCGAGCGTTGGTGGAGGGCGACTTGTGCTTTGCTCCTTGTGCCTGAGCTCAAGCTTCAAACCAGCCGTTCGATCCGTAAGGGCCAGATATCGTGCCGCTGCTGTGCTCTCTAGCGGGGGGGTCTACATCCACGTCATTAACATGAAAACAACAACGTGGCTGCCGGAGGAGGGGCAATTTTTCACCATAAATAACCTGCTGAAGTAAAAAATCACTTTCAGTAAATCGTCGCCGGGTGGTGAAGGTTTCCAGCACAGTTCACACAAAGTACTTTCTAGTTAAACAAATGTGGTTGCTACTTGACAAAGAACACATGAAAGCAGGTCTGCTGTGAGGTCATCTGGCCCTGACGGAAACAGACACGAGCACTTTAGAGTCTGTGACCTACTATTAATCATTTAAATGCAATCAAAGAAGCTGAACTAATAAATAAAGTCGCGTTCAAACGTTTAGATCAAACGGCTTCTTTTTGGGGGGCACATTTAAAAAAAAAATCACAAACCAACACGATAAAAACACAAGGCTGTTCAGAACAGGGGGCGGAGCCTCTGCTCCCCAAACGGCACCTCCTGGAGGCGACGGCCTACAGGGGAGCAGAGGCTGAGCTCATTACAGAGGTGGTTTCTCAGGTTTAACACACAGAACCTTTACAAGGCTCTGACCCGTAAGTACCAAACCCCGCCTCCTCCTCTGCACGTTTTAAGGTGAAGCGAAGCAGCAGACCAACAAATGTTCGGAGGAAGTGTGGCCGCGAGATGTGAGTGTTCTGGTTTCATGTATGCCCCTGACTGGCTGTCTGACGCAGCCAATCTGGGATCTCCACCAATGAGGAAGAAGACGTCAGACGGGCGAGGCTTTGTAGCGAGTGAGGTAACAGGGTTAGTGCCCCTCCCTCTGTGAGGATGTGCTGCTCTCTGCTTCCTCTTCCACATTCTTCATCACTGTGGCGGGAGAGGCGGAGCCAGCAGAGGAGGTGGAAGGAGGAGGTGGTGGCGGCAGGCTTACGTGCGGCTGCACCGGCGTCAGCGTGATCTCCACCTCGCCTTGCTCCTCGTGCAGCGTGGGCAGTGGGAGGGGAGGCGCTGGCAGGTGTGCGGTGGGCGGCGTGGTGGCGCTGTTGTTGTTGCTCGGTCTTGGAGCTTTCTGGATGACTTCCACCATCTGGGTGCGCCCTGACGCCGCCAGCTCCCAGCTCTGGTTTCCCGGGCTCTGGAGCAGCAGCAGCGGCTTACTGTGGCGGTCCACCTCTGGAGGGCACTGCACCACCACGCCACGGTGCTCCACTGCACCCAGAACCATGCCGGGCGGTTCCTGGATCACCAGCTCCAGCACGGGCTGTGAGGAGGCGGACGACGAGGAGGCTTTCTGGATGACGCCACCCGTCACAGAGCTGATGATGGAAGGAGGAGGGGGTGGCGCAGGTGGTAGGGGTGGAGGAGGAAGAGTAGTGGGCGGGGCTGGCAGGGAGTCCTCGGGGCGAGGTTTTCTCGGTCGTCCTCGTTTCCGTTTCACGGGCGTCGTGTTGGTAGTGGTGCTACTACCGATGGCACTGCCACTGGACACCACCACCTCCAGGGGACGCTTGGCTGCTCCACCTCGAACCCTCTGGACCACAGAGGTGGGGGCTGAGGGGGCATGCTGCTGCTGAGGGGGAGGAGGCGGGGCAACCTTCTCCCTTTCGTAGGACAGACAGCTCTGAGGCAGAATCATCACAGGAAAGGTGCCGCCCTGCTGCTGCGGCAGCGTCGCCATCGCGATCACCTTCACCCCGCCACCACTCGTGGCGGTGGTGGCAGTGGGGCCTCCATGTCCAGACACCTCCCCTACACCAGAGGCGTCTTTGGGAGCTAGTGAGGGTGGAGAGGAGCGGACGGTGAGTGTCTTATCTGGGATGGAGCTGCGAGGGAGGATTCTGGGTAACTGCTTGATGAATGCTTCAACCTGCGGACAATGAGAGATGGACGGAGGTCACCGATTGGTCTGACTGAAACAAACAAACATAAACACGCCATCCTGACTGTACCTGTGATTTCTGTATTTTGCTGAGTCTATGAACACCAGCAGCTTTCGTTCACCTCACTTACCGCAGGACGTAGAGATGAGGAAGAGCTGGAGGGAGGCGAAGCATCTAGGGAGGAAGGTTTTCCAGACAAAGCCGATTTGTCTCCTGATTGCGATTTCAGCGAGGAAGAGGAGAAAGAGTCTCCGAGATCCTTCTGTGGAAGGAGAGACAGACAGGAAGAAATTGGCAGTGTGATACATGGATCAGTGACATCACTACCTGCTGTGAAATTAACCTTCTGATCAGGAGCGCCATCACCATCAGCTCTGGACGCCAAAGGAGTCTTCTTGATGACTTTGTGGGTTTTAGCTGGACCGCCTGCACAGAAAACAGCGCAGTCAGTGACGTGCTGACAAACACCATCATCATTATGTGAAGGTTTCTCTGTATGTCAGAGAGTGTTGGTGGGGGACTGGACAGGTAACCCGAGGGACTCTGGCAGTAAGGTGGGGGGGAGAGAGATATATAGTAGGTAGGTCCACACACACACACAGACACACAGACACACAACAGACACACACAGAAACACAGACACAGACACAGAAACACACACAGACACACAGAAACACACACACACACACACACACACTAACACACACACACACACACACACACACACACACAGAGACACACACGAGGCACACACACACACACACACACACACACACACACACACAAACACACACACACAAAAACACACACACACACACACACACACACACACACACAGAAACACAAACACACACACACAACACACACACAGACACACACACAGACACACACACACACACACACACACACAGACACACACACACACACACAGACACACACAGACACACACACACAGAACACACACACACACACACACACACACACACACACATAAACACACACACACACACACAGAAACACACACACACAGAAACACACAAACACACACACACACAAAACACACACACACACAACAAACACACACACACACAGAAACACACACACACAGACACACAGACACACACACACAAAGACACAACACACTAACACACAGACACACACACACACACACACACACAACACCACACAGACACACACACACACACACACACACAACACACACAGAGACACACAACACACACACACAGAAACACACACAGACACACACACACACACACACACACACACACAGAACACACACACACACACACACACACACACAGAAACACACACATAAACACACACACAACACACAAACACACACACACAGAAACACACACACACAAACACACACACACACACACACACAGAAACACACACAGACACACACACACACACACAGAAACACAC